ATGCATCTTGCTCCCCAGCCCTTTCCTAGTTTTATATTCTAGCTCAGCCGTGGGCAAACTACGGCCCGCCGGCCGGATCCGGCCCGTTGAAATGAATAAAACTAAAAAAAAAAAAAGACCGTACCCTTTTATGTAATGATGTTTACTTTGAATTTATATTAGTTCACACAAACACTCCATCCATGCTTTTGTTCCGGCCCTCCGGTCCAGTTTAAGAACCCATTGTGGCCCTCGAGTCAAAAAGTTTGCCCACCCCTGTTCTAGGTCATAGAATCCACCAGCAGCAAATAGACTGGAAGCCCACCAAGGGACTTATAGTGTCAAAGAAACTCTAGGTTTCTTTGGTGACAATGGCCAGACTTTTTTATAAATCTTCACCTCAGGATATTTTTTCCATTGAGCTTTAGAGAGAGAGTAGAAGAGAGGGAGGAGAGAGATAGAGAGAAATGTCAACATGAGAGAGACACATTGACTAGTTGCCTCCTGCATGCCCCGAGCCAGGAATCGAACCTGCAACCAAGGTACATGTCCTTGACTGGGAATCAAACCTGAGACCCTTGGGTCTGTGGGCCAACGCTGTAACCACTGAACCAAATAGGTTAGGGCTGGCCAGGTTTTTTAACACCTGGCAAATCTTAGGTCCCTAAACACAGTGAATCAGTCCTCATAGGGATACACTAGAGCAGTAATTCTTATACTTTTATGTATATAAGACGTTTATTAAAAGTACCAATTCTTGGGCTTCATCCCCAAAGAATATGATTCTTTCTATCTGGGATTGGGCTGGGGAATCTGCATTATTAATTAATGTCCCTGGTGAGTCACATGTAGGTGATAGGGAACCCCACTTTGGGAGACATACGTAGCCGTTAGGGAAATTATTAAATTCCTTAAGGACTGGCAGCAGGACTGCATTGTCCTCACGGTATCTAGCAGTGTGTAGGGCACAGAACAGGAGCTTTGCAGGCCTTGTCTACTAGACCCGAGAGGCATGGGTCTCCAGAGCCAAGGGTTTGGGAAGCATGCAGGCTGTGATTCCAGAGACTGACCTGCCTGCATCCCCGCTCCCCTGCTCCTTGATTCTTCTTGATCCTGCTTTGCACCGACTGGGGCTGCCTTCCCCAGACACTGAGCTGGCAGTGGAACATGCCCAGGATCCCCTGTCAGTGCCCCCTGTTCAGCCAGAGAGTTCTGGGCACATCTGTGGGGGCGAGGGATGTGCCAAACGTTGGAGAGAGTGTTTATTAGGCTTCTCCATGTTTATTTTCCTCCTTCGACCACCTCAGGGCAGGGAGTGTTTTGGGAGCCTCCGTGGAGCAGTTACACTTTGCTGGCACCTTGTGTGACTCATGTGTCTCAGGGCCTCACACCCTCCATCAAAGGCCTTGGAATCGTCAAGGTCAGGATATTTAAAACCACATTCTTGGGAGCGCTCTGGACACTGCCGACTCAGCTCAGGGAGAGGGAAGTGCCAGAGGACAGCTGTCAGTGCTCGTGCCACCATGTATGGCAGGCCTAACAGCACACACCAGTTACGGGTATGGCCATATTGTTGTTTAGTTCTAGCTGGTGATGCCCAAGGGACCATATATTTCTCTTTATTCATTATCCTAAAGCTTTAATTCAGCACCTACTGTGTGCCAGACACTGGGGAGGATACAAAGATGTGTAGACACGATCCTGCCCCAAATGAGCTCCCAGACTAGGAAGCAACATAGAGGCCCTGCAGAGAGACTCATGAATGATAATCAAACTCATAGTTATTATAAGCTCCCTCTGGAGGGGTGTCCAACTGCGAGTGGTGGAGATGATGGTGGGGTATAGGGGAAAATTCTGGAAGCAGGGTCCTGGGTGGAATATATAAAGTTAAGCGGAAGTTGCCCAGGCTATATTCAGTTTCTGGCAAAGATGGAATAACAGGGATGGAGTTTACCCTCCCATCTGGAGCAATGAAGAAGTTGTATATGAAGCAATAGTTCTGGCATCAGACAGCACAGGACAGTGATCCTCAAGGGAGGGGAAACAAATGAATGAGCCCTGTGGCCGCCTCAGTGTACTGCCTTGAGAGTTTCAAGGCTGCAGCACAAAGACGAGGAACCCAGGTGGGGTCCAACAGTTTCTCTGAGTTGAAGAGATGGAGCAAGTAGTCCATGGCAGCTAGAGTTTTCAAGGCAGAGTACTGGAGAGGAGTGAGAGGTGGAGAGAGGAAGGAAGAGAGAGGAGGTTGTAGGGTTAGATGGGTGCGGGAGAAAGATACCCAGGAATCTGCAGAGGGTTCCCTTGAGTCTTTAGCTGAGTACTGCTCAGAGCATTTTGTAATGAAACTGTTTAGGGAAACAACCACACAAAAGCAGAGGAAATAATTCTTGGAGCTCACATGAGGCCAAGAACAGTTTATGTTCCCATTAGCCAGAATGGCAAACCTCATACATCACAAGGCTTCAGATGGATACTCAGAAGGGGATTACCTCAGTAGCGGATTAGTTCTTGAGTAGTTGATATTCTGGTCCCAACTAGCAAAGCTTAAAAGTGAGACTCAGAATAATCAAACTGTTTCCATGTAACTTTACTGTGTCCCAGAACATAGCTCAAAAGTATTTATAGAAATACAAAAATACCCAGCACCCATCAAGGTAAAATTCACAATGTTTGCCATTCAGTCCAAAATCACCAGGCAAGCAAATAATCAGCAAAATATGACCCATAACAAGGAAAACCGATCAATCCATCAATGGAAGCAAACCCAGAAATGACACAGATGTTAGAACAAGGACATTAATAGACAAAGACATTTAAAAAAAAGTTATATGTTCAAGAAAGTAAAAGAAAGATTGAGCATGTTAAGTACAGGCATGGAAGACATAAAAAAGATCCAAGTCTAACTTCTAGAGATGAAAAATATAATGCGAAATATTTTTAAAGAGCACTGAATGTGATTAACATCAGCTTAGAAAACATTAGTGAACTTGGTGATACAGTCATAGAGACTATCCAAAATGAAACACAGGAAGATTAAAAGTGGCGGCAGAGTAAGTGGATGCTGCACAAACATGCTCCCAAGAACAAATTGGAATTACAACTAAAATACAGAAAAACTCCCTGAATAATCTACGGAAGACTCGCAGGAGAGAACCCTGATACCCGAGGACCGAAAGTGGAGACCGCACAGGGTCCAACCACTGGCATAACCGTTATGAATCCAAGCCTTTTGAAAGAAGGGGAGCTGTTTGAAAAACGAGCTCTTTCCACTCCTGTAGTAGAAAAACGTTCAGTATCTTCTGAGGCGTCAACATTACCACCATCGAAGAAGAAAGCAAAGCTAGAACATGGAGGATCACCTTGCTCTAAACAAAATTCAGCAGCAGGCAAGCACTTCATAAAGGAAAGCCAGCACCACTAACGATACCACTATAAACATAAATAAAAGCAGAATGACAAAGCAGGCAGTGTTCCAGTTATCATGGACAGGGTAAAGTTTTTGAACTTGAAAACCAAGGTACTGATAAACAGATGCCATGGTTTCATTCCATAGGCTGGAGCTCAGGGAGACCATTCTTGGGATTCCACTTCTTGTACTGCCCTTTTGAATCTACAAAAAGGTAGAAAATGAATATATGTAACCAGAATCGACAGATTTATCAATACAAATATCAATGCTAAGATTCGTTAATAAATTGATATAGGCAATCTGAGTCTTCCTTCTTTTCTGCCGGAATTAATCCCTGAATGGTATTAATTTAATAAATAAATGTAAATACACACACACACACACACACACAAGAAACACGGGGAAAAAAGACTGAGGAAAGAAAAAAAGAACAGAGCATCAGTGATCTGTGAGAAAACTTCTGAGGGCCTATGTATATTTGGAGTCCCAGAAAAAGGGGGAGGGCAGAAAATAAGTTTGAAGAAATAATGGTCAAATATATTCTAAGATTGATAAAAAAAACTATAAGCCCACAGATCTAAGATGCTCAGTGAGCCCCTAACACAAGAAACTGAACTATACTAAAGCATATTATAATAAAATTGCTTAAATCCAGTGCTAAGTAAAATATCTTAAAAGCACCCAGAGAAAAAAGACATTTTATGTACAAAGAAACAAAGATAAAAATGACAGTAAATTTGAAAGCCAGAAGTTAATGGAGCAACATCTTTACAATACTGAAAGAAAAATTGTCAGCCTAGAATTCTATACCCAACAAAAGTATTTTTAAAAAACGAAGGTGAAATGAAAACTTCTTCAGACAAAATGTGAAAGAATTCAGCCTGGCTGGTGTGGCTCAGTGGTTGAGCATCAACCTATGCACCAAGAGGTCACTCGGTTCGACCCTGGTCAGGGCACATGCCCGGGTGTGGGCTCAATCCCAGTGGGTGGCGTGCAGGAGGCAGCAGATTGATGTTGATGTTTTTCTCTCATTGATGTTTCTATCTCTCTTCCTCTCCCTTGCTCTCTCTCTAAAATCAACAAAAACACTTAAAAATGTGAAAGAATTCATCAGCAGCAGACCTGTACTATAAGAAATGTTGACAAAAGTCCTTCAAGCAGAAGGAACATTATACTAGATAGAAGTCTGGATCTATACAAGGCAATTAAGAGCACTGGGAAGGAGGTGTTCTATGATATATAATAATATAATTAGAATATCAGTTTTGAAACCCATAATGAATTAATGGATCTAGGCAATGCTGAACAATAGCTGACAATACGACAAAAAGAGAGACAACCAAATATTATATACATTGACAGAGGCACATTTCACCACCTATGTAAAAAACAGAAACAAAAAGAGATAATAATAATCAAACCAGAATCTGACTTTGAGATCTAATTATCAATATACAAGGTACACAGGGGATAAAGAAATGTGTTAAATAAAACCACTGTGTTTTACTTAAAAAAAAAGATCCAGATAGGAAATTCTGTAGGATAAACAACCAGATTTTTTTCATAAAAAACACACACAACAAAAACAAATTGCAAGGGGGGAGAGAGAGAGAGAGAGAGACATTTACATGGAGGGGGACTACAAGAGACTTAAGAGACACATCAATCAATCAACCAACCAATCAACAACATATGGATCTTGTTTAGATTCCTAGTTCAAACTCATTAAAAAGGAAATAAGATAAGACATTCAGGGAAATGTGAACACTGACAGGTATTTAAAGAATTATTGGACAGAAAAAAGTTACCCAGGCCAAGAGGACGAGGACCCCGGGCCAGCATGGGAAAAGGCAGGCCGGTGTGGGGGGACGGTTTGGCAGTTACAGGAGCAAGGCCTCGGCTTGCCTTTCCCTCCAGGCCAGGCTGGCTGTGGAGCTCTGATTTCTGAGAAAGGAAAATGCAGAATATTGACCTGGAGACTATTTCTGTTGACTTCTCCTGGCCCTCTGGGGGGGGGGGGGGAGCACGTTGGAAACAGGGTCTCATCGAGGGCTTTCAGGGCCACCCTCAGCAACTGGGGACATGGACCTGGCCGCTTGGGAGAGACAGAGGCTTTGAGCACTTTAACCTCATCCCACCCTCCCAGCTCCGCCTGCGGGTGGAAGGCCAGGACTTAGCATGGAGCAGAGGAAAGAAAAGAGGGAAGGAGAGAGAGAGAGGAGAGAGGCGGAGAAGAGGGAAGAGAGCAGGGAAGGCTGAAGTTCAAGCTCAGTATGCACTCAGTGGCTTTAAAGTACCAATTGACTTTTGGTCTCTAAACATGAGGAAGGATGCTGCCCTCCTCCCCTTGTGCTCGGTTCAGAGACAAGGTGCCTGGGAGAGGGAGAAAGGGGATGCTCGGGCCACAGGGGCGAAGCGGCTTGCTCGGGTCGACAGGCCAGTTGAGATGATGAAATGGCTGAAGGACAAGCCAGGGCACAGGGCATTTATCCCTATCACTCAGGGTCAGTCATGTGTGCCATTGCGCCTGTGTCCTGTGGTTCCTTGCTGCATCAAGTGCCCAGTGAGAAACAATAACGAGGGTTTTATTAGCTAACACTGGAGACCCGGTGCATGAATTCGTGCACAGGTAGGGTCCGGCAGGCCCACCTGGATTGGGGTGGGAGGGGCAATAGGGGCGGGGCCGGCCTGGGAGAGGGGCCCCAGTCGGCCCTGCTCCCTGGTCGAACTCCCAGTGGAGGGGACAATTTGCATATTAGCCTTTTATTATATAGGATTATTGAGCACCCATGATGCCAGTCCCTATTCTAAGTGTTTTACAGGTTAATTCACTTCATCTTCTCAACATCTTTGAGCAATGGAGTATTATTAAACCCATCTAACAGATGATCTAACTGAGCCCAGAGAGGTTAAATACCTCACCCAAGGTCACACAGATAGTAGGGGCCCAGTGGTAACAGAACCTAGAAAAAGTCTAGTTTCAGAGCTTCAGCTCTTCCCAGCTACCCTGGACGGGCAGCGGTGAGCTGGTCCTGCTGAGTGACTGCAGCCCACTCCCCCACAGAGCTCTGCACTGGCGCCTCCTCCCCCCAGAGCAGCTGGGGCCCAGGCTGGAGCTGAGGCCAGAAGAGACCTTGTGGCCACACTGGAAAAGCCACCCTGCGCAGGAAAGGCTGCAGGGCCCCCGGGCTGGAGAGAGTTGCCAAGAACAACAGCGGGCCTGCCCTAAACTGTTCTCAGCTGCTCAGCCTGGATGCAGGGCTGCGTGTCCGCGATGCTTATCAGCCCTCCGAGGGAGAACTGAATTGCGAGCATTCCAATCCCAGGCTATGATGAGGGGCCCGGGCAAGGGGTGTCCAGGCCGCATTCCGCCAGGGCGAGCGAGGGCTGGGGAGGGCCGCCCTCCCGTGAGGCCCAGCCTTGCTCGGGGTGGGCACGGGTCCCCTCCCCAGGTTCTGGCAGAACACTCTTGAACAATTTGGCCTGAAATAGCATAAGAACTTCTTTCCCATTTTTTTTTCCAGGCTTTTGGATGAAATTATATTTTACAAATGACTCATTATTATATTTATAGCTTCTCTCCAAATGATTCAAATTGTGGTTTGTCGCCTCCCTGTCTCTCAGCTCCCCCAGCTCGCCGGGAAGAGAGGCTGTTGACGGCACGGCCAGGTGTGGCTGCGAGCGCTGCCCCTGTAATTACCTTCCCCGCGCCCTGACAGGCACGGGCGCACTCAGTCATGCGGCCTTTGTTCCAGCTTGCTGTTGGGGGACAGTGCCCGCCAGGAACTCGGCTTGGAAGCTGCTCCTGTAGGAAGTGCCTGTGTGTTGGGGGGGAGTGGGAGAGGGTGGGCGGCCGAGGGGGAGGCCTGTTCTGGGGAGGCTGAGACAGAGGGCGCCTTTGTGAGCGCACAGGCTGGAGAGGCAGGAGCTGCCCGGTCCTCCAAGCACCCAGTCGTGGGGGGTGGGGGGGAGGGCCAGGCCGGTGAGGGCCTCCTGGGGGGGCAGTGCTCTCCCCCACCCGCACCCCGCCCGGTGGAGCCATGGAGAGGGTAGCTGGGGGAGGAGGTGGTGGCTCAGACGTTCCAGGCTGCGCTAGTGTCGGGCTGTTTGTGCTTCATGGTTTCTTGTGAGGAACCGCTCCGGCTTTCAGGAATGGGGGTTGTGGGGAGTGTCTACAGTTCCCTCCCCCTCCCAGTCCAAGTGACTGCTCTGCTCCCCAAGCCCTACCCCGCCCCTCCCTCCCGGGAAGGTGTGGTCAGGTGAGCCCAGCAGGCCTGCTCTTACGAAGGCCGCCTAGAGAGGAAGGGTGGAGAGCAGGCCGGATGAGGCCCCATTTGCAGTAACAGTTTATTCCACCCCGTGCCCCTGGGATCAAAGTTCCCTTGGTCTGCCCTGCCTGGAGAATTCAGAAAAGTTAAAGGCCCACAAAATGGAAGAGAAGGACTTTGGAACTCACAGTGACATTCTCAAAGCCTCACAACTCTGGGTCTTTGGACCTTGGGTGTGATGACTCGCAGACCCCTCTGGCTGGTGTGGGTGAGGCTGTGGGGCCCACAGCAAGGACAGGCCACCCCAGCCACCAGCCACCGGGGGGCCCACGGGAGGGGAGGGGACAGGCCACTCCAAGGGAGCTGGCTTCTCGGGAAATCTCGGCTACCCCTTCCTGTGCTTTGAGGAGAGATTCGGCCTTTGATGTTCCAGATTCTGCAGCTGAGGCGCAGTGGCTGTGCGGGAGGCTGGGCCGGACCGGGTCATGGGCCTGAAGTTGTTCGCAGGCCAAGCCTTGGGCTCCGGTTGTGTCCCCAGATCGCCTGTCAGGGTGCCTTCAGGGCTGCCTCCATTTTCACTTCTTGGCACCGCCCCGCGTGAGTGGGAAGGGAACGTGGGAGGAGGCGATGTGGGAATGGGTGTGGGTGAGCATAACGTAATTATGGGTGAAATCAGCGTGCAGCCTTCACCAGATGATTTCCATCTGGGCCGAGCTGGTCCCTGCGAGGCAGTCTGGAGTTGTGGCAGAGGCTGGAGACTTGGAGTCCTGGGACCTCTCTCTCTCTGCTCCCCATTGACAAGTCACTTCTCGAAGGGAAGGGGAGGGGAGGGGAGGGGAGGGGAGGGGAGGGGAGGAAAGGCAAGGGGAGGGGAGGGAAGGCAAGGGAAGGGAAGGGGAGGGGAGGGAAGGCTGAGAGAAGCACCAGACACGGTCCTGAGGAAGGAGAAGGGCCAGGTGTGGATTTATCAGGCCATGGTGACCTGAACTTCCTTCTTAGGCCTGAGGGAAAGAGAGGCCCTTCTTGTAGAGAAGGGCTGTGACCTACGTCCTGTGGAAGCAGAGCCAGGGCTGGTGGTTCTAACAGCAGTGAGACCAGCGTGGTCAGACCGAGAGGCAGCCAACTCAGCCACCTTTGACCACCTTCTTCATGGGGTTTGTGGTCTGTCTGGTGGCCACCCTTCTGGCGCCGGCACCATTCCACCAGTCTTTTGACAGTCATGTCAACGTATTAGAGCACTTTGAACATTATTAGAAGGAGCCATCTTTGATTTTTAATATGTTTTTATTGATTTTTAGAGAGAGAGGAAGGGAGAGGGACAGAGAGATAGAAACATCAATGAGAGGAACATCATCAATCAGCTGCCTCCTACACGCTCCCTACTGGGGATGAGCCCGAAACCCGGGCATGTGCCCTGAATGGGAATCGAACCAGCGACCTCTTGGTTCCTGGGTCGACGCTCAACCCCTGAGTCACACGGGCTGGGCTGGAAGGAGCGGTTTTGAATATGTACTCATGGGATACAACTCGTATGTACGCTTCTACCATACTCCCTCCAATTAGCTCCTGCTCAGAACCCCACTCCACGCCTCATTGAGGCAACGCCGTGGCCGCCTGTGGGCAAAGCTGGAACCTGGCTCTGAATCAAAGCTCATCGTGGAGAAAATCAGTATCTCGACAAAATGGGGTCTCGGGTGGGGACAGACTGTGCAGAACCGCTTCATCCCACCGTGGATGGGGGTGGTGACTGAAGACCAAAGCATTAGCTTTTGGTGTATTTGCTGAGTTATTGGCTGTCTACCTCCTTATTTTCAGGAAGCAACTTCCGTCTTATGTTCCAGATGTTTTTATTTGACCAAGTGCAGTAGGAGGTGGTGAAGTCAGCTTGCACACACTCTGTGTTCACATCCATCATCTCCCTCAGGGCTGCTATTGTCGCCTCCGATTTCTTTATAAGGGCGTTGCGATTGATTCAGTAACTCGCCGAGAGTGCAGTTAGCGACTGAGCTAGGGTTAGTCTGAAGGCTCCTGCTCTGGTTGCCATGCCTCTGTGGTTCTGTTTTACTCTGGGTGAGGTCTGATGGTGAGTCTGGGAGCAGGGAACCCTGGGACGGGGCTCACAGAGCTGCTGTGACCCAAGGTGGCAGAGGGAAAACCCCCCTTTGCTGAGTTAACTGCAGTGTCTCTGGGGGTCAGAGTGAATGCTGCTGACATTACTTCTTTATTGTGGTAAATATACGTAACATAAAATTGACAGTTTTAACCACTTTTAAGTGTATAGTTCAGTGGCGTTAAGTATAGTCCCATTGTTGTGCAACCATCACCACCATCCATCTTTAAAAATGTTTTCACCCAGCCAGGGTGGCTCAGTGGTTGAGCATTGACCTATGAACCAGGAGGTCACAGTTCGATTCCTGGTCAGGGCACATGCCTGGGTTGTGGGCTCGATACGATACGCAGTAGGGGGAGTGCAAGAGGCAGCTGATCAATGATTCTCTCACCATTGATGTTTCTATCTCTCTCTCCCTTCCTCTCTCTGAAATAAATAAAAACATTTAAAAAGTGAAATAAGCCGAAACCGGTTTGGCTCAGTGGATAGAGCGTCGGCCTGCAGACTGAAAGGTCCCAGGTCCGATTCCGGTCAAGGGCGTGTACCTGGGTTGCGGACACATCCCCAGTGGGAGATGTGCAGGAGGCAGCTGATCGATGTTTCTCTCTCATCGATGTTTCTAACTCTCTATCCCTCTCCCTTCCTCTCTGTAAGAAATCAATAAAATATATTTTAAAAAAAAGTGAAATAAAAATGTTTTCATCTTCTTAAACGGAAAGTCCATACCCACTGAACACTAACTCCCATTCTCTCCTCTCCCCAGCCCCTGGCAACCACCATTCTGCTTCCTGTCTTTAGGAATTTGACTACTAGGTACCTCAGAGTGTGTTCACATGCAAGTGGAATCATCCAGCATTTGTCCTTTGGTGTTGGTCTTTTTTTTTTAAATGTATTTTTATTGATTTCAGAGAGGAAGGGAGAGGGAGGAATAGAAACATTGATGAGAGAGAATCATTGATCGGCTGCCTCCTGCACACCCCACACTGGGGGGGGGGGGTCGAGCCTGCAACCCAGGCATGTGCCCTTGGCCGGAATCGAACCTGGGACCCCCCAGTCTGCAGGCCAACACTCCATCCACTGAACCAAACCGGCTAGGGCTGGTGTTGGTCTTATGCTGACTTATTTTTAATTGGATCATTTTCTTTAAAAAATTTTTATTGATTGATTTTAGAGAGCGAGGAAGGGAGAGAAAGAGAAATATTGATTTGTTGTTCCACTTATTTATGCACTCATTGGTTGATTCTTGTATGTGCCCTGACCAGGGATCAAACCCATAACCTTGGCATATTGGGACGATGCTATAACCAACTGAGCCACCTGGCCAAGGCCTGATTGGATCATTTTCTACAACAAGGATATGGGTTAGCGGTGCCCCATGACCATAGAGGACTAAAAACAAAACAAAAAACAAGCCATGTGAGAACAGGAATGATTTGGGGTGGATTTCTTGACTGTCAGGGATACCAGATGTGAGGGGATGGGGGGTGGGTGTTGGTGGCCAGGGAGAAAATGTTACCTTGAAAACAAAACACTGAGCTGTTCATTCTGGGGGCCAGGTGCCTCTCCCTGGAGGTGAATGTCTGTCAGAAGGATGAGGCTGAGATGGACCCCGATGGGGAAGCCACTCTGGTGAGAACCGTGAGATCCTCTGGGCTTGCTGAGGGCAAGACAAATGGCTCTGCAGGAGAAATCCATGGGAACTTGGGGTCTGCACAGAGGGATCTAGAGAGGAGAGAGGCTGGAGTAGGTAGCAGAAGTTGTGACTTAGGGAAGAGTGAGAAATTTTCTGAGGCGGGGAGTGGTTGATTGAGTTTTCGGAGAGTTATGTCTATGAGTAGACTCTTTTTTTTTTTTTTAAATCTTTTTATTGATTTTAGAGAAGAAGAGAGAGGGAGAGAGAGAGACAGAAACATCAATGATGAGAATCATTGATTGGCTGCCTCCTGCACATCCCCTACTGGGGATCAAGCCCGCAACCCAGGCCTGTGCCCTTGACCGGAATCAAACCTGGGACCCTTCAGTCCGCAGGCCGATGCTCTATCCACTGAGCCAAACCAGCTAGGGCTATGAGTAGATTCTAATGCAATTACTGTGATTCCCCTCCATGACCCCAAACTGTGAGTAAAATCTGCTGCTCTGCCTGTTGGCCTTGTCTGAGTTGGAGGGGGATGCAGGAATGGAGAGGACATCAGCTATGGGAGGCGGGATGCAGATGGAGGGGCGAGGGGAAGACAGGAAGTCAGAGCTACAGGTCACAGAGGAAGCACGAACCCTCTGAGAATCCTGGGCACAGCCGGTAGTAGGGGCAGGAGGGAAGAGGGACTGTGAGGTTAGGGGGACACAATGATGAGGTGCCCACACCTGGTGGGCTGGGGCTCAAGTCATTGTCTTGAATAGTAGGTGGCAGGCATTCCAGTTAGACAGCCTGAAGGGGGGACCAGCCTGAAGGCCTTTTCATGGAGGCCTTCCAGCAAAATCTAGACAGGGCACAGCCTGGGTAACTGAGGAAGCTGCGGTTCCCTCGGCTGGGCTCGCTGCCTCCAGGATTTCCATAGTCACGGAAGAGTACTGCGTTTTGAGAGGTGTAGATGA